GCTTTTTAGCAGCCCCAGGTGCGGGGGCCCACACAAAAAACCGAAAGGGGGGGAGGAGGACGGCGGGCGGCGGGGGGAGGCAGGGTCCCCGGGCAGCCGCAAAAACAGCCGCTGCCACGGCTGCCATCACCCCACTGCGGGCCTGAGAGGCCGCCCGGCTGCTCACAAGGTGGCCTTGTTCCTTCCCTGGCTGGGCGTTTCACTGCCAGGCGGCCCAGCGAGGCCAGGGCGGCCAGGAGCGTAGGGTTCAGCGGAGCAGAGAGATACCTTTACCTTTGCTCTGCTTCAGTGTGCTGGAGAGGTTGACTGACGCCACTCCCAGCAGCTCATTCCGCAGGGTGTGGCAGCTCCACAGCTTCAGATCCAGGTGGCTTTGAGAGGTGACGTTCCTGGGGACAGAGAAGGTCAGGGTGGCAAGCCTTTGGGACCAGGATGTCACACAAACCATTAAAAATAGGGGGAAATTCAAGCGTAGCCCACAGAAGGACCCAGCATTCTGCTCTCCCTTCAGATTCCTGCCCAGAAGAGCAGACAAATCCGGAGCTGAGGCCGCAGCAACGGGGTCAGCCAGCACGGCCCTCCTGCTGGCCTGTCTGGCAGAGCACCCAGCCCTCGGTCAGCAAGGGCAGCTTCTACGGTGGGCAGGCCCAGCTGGAGCAGGTCCTGGGGGCAGGAATGCAGGACTGAAGGGGCGAAGCCAGCCCCGCCCGGAACAGGCTGCAGCCCCCCACTGCTCAGGGTCCCAATCCTTACAGCACCAGGCTCTCATTCCAGAGCAGCTCAGAGCTCCCAGTCTGCTTCCCTGTCTTCTTGGCCTCGTTGGCGAGTCCATCCACTACCACCTCCACAAAGGAGGTGATCCGTGACTGGCGGCTCTGGGCCTTGGGCTTTGCTGACACGACTGTGGGAGGAAGAAGGGACAGAAGTGATTGTCTGCACCCACCCCACCCCTCTGCAACCCCCCCCAGATTTTCTGGGAACCCCAGCTGAGCCACTCTGTCCACAGCAGCATCCACCCTTTGCGTGCATGGCAGTATCCTAGGGCCTGGTGCAAAAGGACGCGCCAAATTCTACATTTCAATGACTTGAAAGCAACTCCATTTATGGCAAAGCTTCACAGCTGTAAAGCAGCCATGGCCTCGATGGGCAACAACTCCCAACTGGAGGGAGCACCCTCTAGGCACCCCATATCTGGAGCCAACCTCCAAGGTGGAGACGCTGGAAGCGAGACGTGGAGGGCACCGGGGCACTGCCAATGGCTGGCCCAGACCTGTTTGAGAAGCTGCTGGGCTTGGGAGCCCCCTAGTGGCACACGGAGGCATGGCAAGCAGCTGGCCGGCAGAAAGGCAAAGGAGGCCACGCAGACGGGCACTTTCGTGGGAGAGAGATGTGCCAAGGGCCTCCCCCCACCTTGCTGCCTCGGTACTGGGGTGGGTTACTTGTTCACAGGACCCAGAGTTAGGGGCAAGCAAACAGCGACCACATTTTTCAAGGTCGCTTAACAGGAACAGTAAACACTGCACACGCCCCAACAGCTTTCGGGGTAGGTCACGCGGGCTCTGAAGAAAGCAACTCACGTTAGCAGTTGTTACTTGACCTTGGCCGCTTGAAGATGTACGGACTTCGGCTCCCAGAATTCCCCAGCCAGCCATGGTGGCTGGAGAATTCTGAGGGTTGAAGTCCACGCATCTTCAAGGGACCAAGGTTGAGAAACACTGCATTAGGAAAAGGACGGGCGCTCTGCATATATACCAATGGGGTCTAAGCCGAGCAACCAGAGCTGCAGCGGACGGTTCAAAGGAAACGTCAACCCACACGTAGAAACCACAGCTGGGCTAATTCCATGCTAGGAACGCTCAGGAACAGCACAAAAAACGCCGCTGCCTGTTTTACAAGAGCAGCCTGTCGGGAGATGGTTCTGGGATCACCGTGCAGCGCTCCGGTCACCCCACCCAGAGGATGGTGCGGCTGGAAAACCATTAGGGCGGTTCCTCTATAAGCGTTTCACTTTTAGCCTGAGAGCGAACGAGGAGCAGGACTCCGGTAACGCCATAGCACGTAGGTGAAGCCTGCGGCAGCGCATAAAGATCGGTGGAACGGAGACCACCGTTTCCTTCCCCGCCAGAGCGGGGCTCAGCCGAGCATGGGGGCGCTGAGGACGGCCAAGAAGGCACTTCGCCCTGGGCAGGAGACCCACCTTTCACAGTGAGCGGAGATTTCTCCCCGACAAGCCCCTCCGAGGCCATCTCATCCTCAGGACCTGCAGGAGACGGGCGACAGCGGGCGCCTAGGAGCTCCAGGGCTGGGCCGGCCGCAGAGCATCCCCGGCGGACAGGCTCCCCGCCTTCC